CGTTCCAGCAAGGATCGAGGAAACAGTAGAACTTCTGATGTTATATTTCTGTAGACTGGTCTATGTCTGCTGCTATGGTCAAATGAAAAGTGTCATAGTCATTTTTTTATTTAGGATCGGTAAAATGTGGCAAAAGTGTCCCCAGGTAGTTACACAAAACTCCTATTTCTCTGATGCTTTGGGCTAGGAGGTTGTGGAGTTTATTGTAATTCGTTTGCCTTCGAACACCGAATCTGTGGATATAATCTTGCCGACCGTCAATGCCTATAACTAAATTTGGCATTTTGTGACTGCTTAACGCTAACTAATATCTATAACTGCATATTTTATTGGGCTGATATGCCCAAGTTGACCCAAGTCAGTGAGTCTTTGGTTTCAATGTCATTTTTAGTAATTGTCTTTAACAATGATATTACTGCTACGGTTTTTGTTGTTATCGTTGCTGTCTTTCCAATTGTGACTTTTTTGCTGTTGTGATTGCCTTACTTCTTATTTTCCTGATTCTAATGGGAGCAACCCAAAATGTCGGTCCTCTGTAACTTACATAACTATGTACCTACTTTCTCCAAGAGCGTGAGGCTAGCAACCTCTACCCTGTAAACGAAACTGATACAAAAATTTCAGTACGATGAGTCTCCTTGCGACAAATGAAAAAATATTCGTTGGGACATGGAACGCCCAAACTATGTATGAGACTGGGAAAGCTGCCAAGATTGCGAACGAGATGAAAAGATACGGAATTCAAGCACTAAGAAAATGTGAAAGCAGACAGAATGGGAGTAGACTTACAATGGGAGAGTCAGTGATCTACTCCAGTCACCCAGAAGATAACCATGAGTACACCAAGAATGTAGCTATCATGATTTTGCCAACGGCAACACAGGCCCTGATATTATGGGAGGCGGTCTCGCCTAGAATAATGACCACCATATGCAACTCAAAAGAAACGAGAATGACAATTATACAATGCTATGCACCCACCTAGAAAAGAAATAAGAGTTCTACAGGCAACTATAGGCAACAATGGAAAAAACACTATTCGGTGACATTAAAATACCAATGGGAGAAATGAACGCCAAAATGGGATCAGACAACACAGGAAGAGAACTCATTATCGGCGGAGAAGCAGCTGGAGAGATGAATGAAAACGGAGAACTCTTCGCAGACTTCTGCACCTTCAATGAACTGGTGATTTGTTTCAGCATATACAAGTACAAAGATATCCACAAGGCTACATGGCTGTCACCAGACGGATGAAACAAAAACCAAATTGACTTCATCTCAATACTGCTCAAGTAAGTGGAGACGCAGCTTACTGGACACAGAAGTAAGAAGAGGATCAGACGTCGGCTCAGATCACTATCTCGTAAAAGGAACACTCCAAAAATAGCGAAGCGACCAGAGTTGAAAAGCACTGGAACTGCCTGCAAGCAGTCTGGAGTCACACCTGCAAGGAAGTTCTAGGCAGAAAGAAGAGACATGAAAAACAGTGGCTCACTACGGTCACATGGAGACTAGTAGAAGAGAGAAGGATGGTGAAACAAAAGATTATCCAATGTATCGACGAGCAACAAAAACAGGTGTTGAATGCAAGCTACAATATACTGGACAAAAGAGTAAAGAAGAGTGACAGGGAAGACAGAAGACAATATTGTGAAGCTGTGTTAGGTGAAGAAGAACAGGCTGCAGGCAAAGGAGACCTCGCAACACTCTACCAAACACCTGGGGTACAGATCAACACAAATTAGGCCAGTGAACGATGACGATGGAAAGTCAATCACGAAGCAGGTGGAGCAAGGGAAACACTAGGCTGAACACCTCAAAAGACTTCCAAATCGACCGCCACCTACAACGCGCAGATATTTATCGGTCAAAATATATTCAAATTAGTTAAATCTCAATTACCCAGTACTGTGCTATAAGCCACACTTATTCGTCTACGCTGAAGTAGGTGGAGTAGGGCACATTGGCTGAAAGTCGACCGCGTATGCCAATCTGCCATATCTCCATAATATATTCACATACGTCCCTTTTTGTTTCGGCCAGTGGACAATGAAACCGCATATAGTGAGAACAATATTTATCGGATAAATTAACGTAACCCATATAACTAACGAGATTAGAAACATCAAAGAGCAGAGGTATACAAACATGTCTTGTGGCCATCATCTAAACTCCGGCTAAACGTCTGCGCGACCTGATGCTTTGGCAATCTTCATATATTAAGAACAGTTCAGAGGTAACCATTCGGTAGGCGCCTGACGCGCCTGACAACATCAACAACGGAAGAGGAACTACCAGTGGATACCAACCCTCCGACGAAAGCAGAAATCCTGAAGGTAGTCAAGATGCTAAAAGCTCGAAAAGCATCAGGACCAGACAGAAACCCCACAGAAGTATTGAAAATAGACCCAGAGACATCAGTGGACCTGATGATATCACTACTGGAGAAAGTGTGGAAACAGGGGAAGGTACCTGTGGACTGGAAGAAAGGTTACTTATTCAAAATGTCAAAGAAATGAGACTGAAGTCAATGCAAGAACTGGCGCGGTATTATGCTTTTGTCCATCACAAGCAAAATACTAAGCCGCATCATCCTGGAGAGAATCAAACATGCCCTGAATGAAAAGCTTCGACCGGAACAGGCTGGATTCATGAGAAACAAGTCATTGATCAAATCGCAACACTACGGATCATCACTGAACAGAGCTTGGAATGGCAGTCAGCTCTCTATCTCAACTTCATTGCCTTCGACAGCGTCGATCGAGAGGTAATTTAGAGACCACTTCTCTACTACGGGGTGCCACCAAAAATTATGCACCTCATCCAACAGTTGCACGGCAATGCTGCGTGCCAAGTAATCCACAATGGGAAACTCACGGAATCGTTCGAAGTGAAGACGAAAATAAGACAAGACAAGCTGGCTGCCTACTATCGCCAATGATTTTCCTGATTGTGGGCGGTAGACTGGATAATGCGATAGATATAGAGGAATGAGAAGACAGACATAGAATGGACCCACACAGAAAACTTGGAGGATCTGGACTTCACCGATAATGATATTTGTCTGATTTCCCACAAACTGGAAGATATGCAAGTGAAAAGCAACAAGTTGGCAGAAGAGGCATCCAGAGAAGATAGGACTTCAGGTGATGGAGATTCCTGTCGAACAGCAATAGCAACAACAACAGACAAAATCAGCATAAATGGGAGAAATCTGAAAGAAGCAACCTCCTTTACCTACATACCTGGGAAGCATCGTTTTAACTAAAGGCGAATGAAATTGATGAGGATATCAAAGGGAGGATTGGGAAAGCATGGCAAGCTTTCATCACTCTGAGGTCTGTGTGGAGATCAACAGCACTCAGCATGAATAATAAGGTCTGGATTTTCAAATCCAGTGCGAAGTCAGTGCTACTATACGGATCAGAGACTTGGCACCATGTCACGAAGGTGACTCTGAACTAGCTACAGACTTTCATCAACAGCTGTCTTCGCTCACTACTACTCAAGATCAGATGACTGATCAGAAAAGATCAGCAACAGAGATCTCTGTGAGCGAAGCGACCCAACAGGAACTGGTTGTGCAGCAGATATCCAGGAAGAAATGAAGGTGGATTGGCCATACTCTGAGGTAAACATCAAGTGACATCACACGCCAGGAGCATCTTTCGAGGGGAACCCAAATGTGAAGCTGCAAGTTGGTCGTCAGTGCAAGGGTGATATGGAGCAGGTCACGTGAAGAGGAGATGAAAGCATGTGGGCAGACGTGGAGCCAGGTGTAAAGGTGGTTGGTGAACCGAACGCAATGGAGACGGGCGGCTGAAAGACTGTGTTCCTCCTGGAACTCAAGGAAACAACAGTAATATAGGTTTCCCGAGACTGCTCACTACTCTTTTTTATCACCAAGCCATTAAGCTTGACACATCAGTGAAAAGTAGTTTCAGTCTTCTCCTTTGAACTTTATTAGGACGGAAGTAAGTAAGAAGTGGGCCATTTATGTAGCCACAAACAGTGAACACATGAGAATCATCAGAGTTTTTCCAGCTGAGACAAAATAGTTGGCTAGCTGAAATTGGTTTAGATAATCAAGGTGGTAAATATCAGTTTTTCCATCACATTCCCCTATGCCACAGCCGTTGTTAATTTCATGCGTTGCCTTACGTCGGGTTAGGTCTTCTTTTTGTCGTACCAATTACCACTGGTTTTCCTATTGCGAAGTAAGACCCAAAAATGTCACAGTTATCAACACTGATATATACTGTTTCACTTGTTGTTGAGACGCTTAAATAATCGTGTGGCTAAGAAATCTGCTTACGGTACCATGCTTGGATTGAAACTTCCACTGACATAAGGTTATACAAAGTCACGTATTGGGCCTTTAAACATATTCGGGATATCAAATGTTTGAAGGGAACACTTATCATCAATCCTCAATTAGGTTTATTTCTCCGTTTTGCAAATATTTGTAGATTTTATTTTTTACGGAACTTCGTTTAGCTAAGCCACTTACAACTCGACCTGCGTTTCCCGCGTTCTCGGATTTAAGAAATGGATGTTGCTCAAACACAAGTCCGAACTATTAGGGTTGTTGATGTTGTGGCAGAAGAGTGTCAGAGGCTTTTTCACCACTTTCTTGAAACGTAATTTGATTATCTTCTTACGTGTTTTTTTAGCTTCAAGGAAAACGATGTGTTAAAATATGTTGAGGCAGCAAACGCCTTAAAGAAGCTTGAAAAGAATACATTGTCTGTCAACTTTACTGATGTAATAGTTTCTGATACAAAGCTCTCTGGTTTGATACAGGATGATTTCTATCGGTAAATCTTGATTTTCACTCATTCTTGTAGACTGTATCCATCGCTATGTGCAGCCACCAAAAACTTTGTTAATGACCATGTTCCAGATACGCAAAATTCAGGAAGGGACTTTTATGTTAGCTTCACTGATGTTCCCAGCCTCCACAGGTATGCCAAAGTGTCAAGTGCTTACTTTCCAGAATGCGAGACCTGACGGCAGGTCAGCTTGGAAGATTGATTAAAGTTCGTGCTCAGGTAGTTAGAACACACCCTGTTCATCCTGAGCTTCTGATGGGCACTTTTCGTTGCTCAGAATGCAAAATCGTTATAAGGAATGTGGAACAACCTTTCAAGTATACACAGGTATTCTATTGTGTTCAAATCTAACCAAATTAGCCTACTGTATGTTTTAATCCTCAATGTGGAAACCGTCTGAAGTTCGAACTACTGACAAATGAATCGAAGTTTGTTGATTTTCAAAAGGTTCGTGTTCAAGAAACCCAGTCTGAACTGCCACGTGGTAGTATCCCACGCAAGTAAGTGATCTTTGGATTTTGACTGTATACAAATATTTTCCTTTTGTAATTAGCCATCGAATTTTACTATTGTTAACCCCAGATACTTTATGATTATGGATCTGATAATGTGGGTTCACAATGCAAAACTTGTTGTCGGTACTTCCACAATATATGTACCTAAGCGTGACAAAAACTACAGTGGGCATGATACTGCTATTTGCACAAAGTAACGTGTTTGAGCCCTTTTCCAATCATCTGATATTAAATCCTTCGCCTTGAGTTATCAGTGGTTATTTGTGTTACTCAGACAATTTGGGTTAGGCGGAGTAGCACCTCTGAGTAAGTATACGGGTTGACTAAAGTCACATAAAATAGGCGAAGGGGAAATAACTTATCTGAATGTCATTAGGATGTACGAGAGGAAAGGATGAAGCGTTAAACATGTAAGGAAATACAATATTGCTATTTGAGTAAGCTGTATCTAATTGTTAAACTCATACACCATAACTTATGAAATAATTGTTAGTGGCGATCTTTTCTTATGCATTACCTGGTTATTAACTCAGTTATTCACGTGTGAATGTAATCAAGGAAAGTTGTAAAGCTCTCACTAAATTATTCACATTCAACCTGGTTGTAGTCGAGTGGTTACCTGAAAACTAGTCCAAAATGCACGGCTTTTATAATATTCGCCAAAGTTCTGTTATCGACATATGTCAGTCTGACCAGTGGAAGATCAGTCCTCTATCAAGAAAAATGACTCCTCACCTGTGTTTCCAAACAATCATTCTGAGTCTTGAGTGATCTGATTTTTTGTATGGCTCTGCATGTAGGTGCATCGACTTATTTTTAACGTAATCACGTCGAGGCATGCCAAAGGAGTTGTATTAATCATATCACAACGAATTTAGTTAGTTGTGGTTTACAGGCATATGAACTGACTACTTGTCTTGCATTAGACTGTGCACTTCACAGCGTACACTAGAGTCGGAAACTGATTTTTCTGTCGGTCGGTTTTCGACATAGAACTTTGCACATATGTCGCCACACTCCATGTAGCACACAAAGCAAGAGAAGAAAGTAGAAGAAATGCATAATATAGTCAGTAAACAGAGGTGTGAGACAAAGGAATAGTAATAACGGAGAACAAAACAGTTTAATTGGAAATCATAAGTCACAAGGAGTGGATGCATCTGCGCCACTGAGAACGATTTTGAGCCATGTCACCAATTGTTTCCAACCATTGGTTTTTACCGTCCCGAGGACCCCAACCAGGAAGTCTACATCTTCCTACTTGGCTTAAGCTAACTGTTGTGGATTTCATTGACTGATTTTCAGCACTATTTGGTACGGCAATTTAGATTTTAGTCATGGTATCTGACTACTAATACATAACTTATCGCAATACATAATGTGTAACTAAGATTTTTTAATACAGGTGCTATATATGCATACATGTCACTGCTAGATTGATGGGATATGTCTTTGTATATCTATTCGGTATGATATATCTGAGTGATATTCTACTTCATTATTGCCATTTCCAGATATACTTATGACTCACCGCCATGGGTTAGTTTGGCCGGAAGCCAAGCTGAACAGTACCTAAATTACTGTTCAACACAGTGTGAAAAGCCATTAATTAGATTAATATATGTGTAAAACATGGGCACTGTGGTAGTAAGTAATTCCATATTAGTTTGTTTACTATATAAATCACACACTGAAACAGTATTATTTACTGGATGACGTTTCAAAAAAATTTATTGTTCATTTGTTCGAAACGTCATCCAGTAAATAATACTGTTTCAGTGTGTGATGTATCTAATAAACAAACTAATATGGAATTCTTTACCACCAAAGTGCCCAAGTTTTACACATATATTAATATGACTTATAGTCTTCCTGTACGAAGTCTTAACAATAAACTCACTCGACTTTCACAAACTGAAGCAAGATGTGAAAATCATCGTATTTTCAACATTCGATGCCTAAAAAATGAAATCATTCCTAAATATCTACGTCTACGAGCTCCAGTTCCAACGGACAGAGTTAGAAGGAGAATAGAAGGCCTACAAAAATTATGCCTGAAAGAAGAGATCCACAGAATCGTTAAAAAGTTGCAACATATCAGATCTGAAATTGAGCAATTAAAACAAAAGCTAAAAGGAATAGTTACCAATGTAGATTATGATCTTATAACACAATCCTCCAGCAATGCAAAATCAGCAACTTTCAAAAAGTCAAAAAATAGTCAAATCAAAAAGTTCAACAAATTATTAGAAGAGAAATCTTCATCTCAGAATGATGAAGTCAACAATCCAAAGTCAACGGCGATCGATAAATCAAAGTGGGTTATCAATCTCTCAACACATATATTAAGTCCTACGGAAATAAGTGTATTAGAAAAGGGACTAAATTTCAATGTATCAGTAGACAAGCTGAAACCTGAGGATGTCATCCCTAAAATAGAAATAGCACTAAGTGGGATAGACAAAACTACGGCTGATGAAGTACGGGCACAATGTGCACTGACATTAAAACGACAAAAATGTGGAAAGCCTAACCTGACAAAACAAGAGATAGAAGCCCTGAAACACCTTAAGAATAACAAGGATATAGTTATCACAAAGTCAGACAAAGGAAATGCAACAGTAGTATTAGACAAATCAGACTATTTGGACAAGGTAAATACTCACATACAAACAGGACCATATGAGGAAATTAATAAACCAATAGATACAGTTATGAATAAAGTTAAGAAATCCACAGCGGACCTTATACGCCGAATGAAGCCGTTTCTAGGTGAGTCTAAGTGGTTTAATTTAATGCCCAAAACTAATAACCCCAGTAGGATGTATGGTGTTGTTAAAGTTCATAAGTCAGGATACCCTATTAGGCCTATAGTTGATTTTAGAAATTCACCTACTTATGAATTATCTAAATATTTAGCCATGGTATTAAATCCCCTAAAAATCCACTCAAAATCTAGACTAACTAATTCTTATGAACTAAAACACAGATTAGATAATTTAAAATTAGATAATGAAGAAAAAATGGTTAGTTTTGACATTGTCAGTTTATATACACGTATACCAATAAATATGGCTATAGAGGCAGTCAGAAACGAACTCATTTCTGACCAAGAACTCGAACTTAGGACAAAAGTGCCACTTGAGGACATAATGCTGGGAGTACAGCTATGCCTGACTTCCACAGTATTTAAATTCCAAGGGAAAATATACAAACAAACTGAGGGAGTTGCCATGGGATCACCAATATCCCCAGTTGTAGCAGATATATTCATGGATAGGTGGGAAAGCATAGCGATTGAAACGTTCACCCCCCCCCCAAAAGTATGGTGGAGGTATGTAGATGACACATTCACTGTACTTAGAACACAAGATATAGATAGATTTTTCGAACACATTAACTCGAAGGTTGAAGCAATTCAATTCACTTATGAATTGGAAAATCAGGAAGGGGAGCTCCCAATGTTAGATTGCAACGTAAAAAGGAAAGAAGATGGGAAGTTAAACACTAGTGTTTACAGGAAACCCACACATTCAAACAGATATTTGGACTTCCGATCATCCCATCCTATGTCAGTAAAAATAGGATTGGTGAAATGTTTAAATGACAGAGCACAAAAACTAAGTAGCACCAAGGAAAATCTAAAACAGGAACTGATACACATAAAAGAAGCCTTGAAACTTAATAATTACCCGGATAAACTAGTCAGGAAATATGTAAGGAAATGTAAAAATAAAATAAATAATGATAGTAGCGATAGTGATAATAACAATAATAATGATAACGATAATAATAGTGATAATAATAATAATAATAATAATAGTAATGATGACGACACCAACAATAAGGAATCTAAATCATCAGTAGTAATTCCATACAAGGAAGGAACCTCGGAAGCCTTACGCAGAATTCTTAACAAGGCAGGAATAAAAATGGCATTCAAACCCACAAACTCAATTAGAAACAAGCTTTGTCGCTTAAAGGATCCTGTAGAGCCTGTAAAACAAAACAATTTAGTTTATCTAATACCCTGCAATGATTGTCAGGTCAAATACATAGGTCAAACTAGTAGAACAGGGGCAGTCAGACTAGCTGAACATAAAAACTTAGCAAAATCTAGATTGGTTGACCCGAATAAGATAAGAAATCTAGAGAATAGTTCAGCTATAGCACTACATGCAGTTACACACAACCATACAATAGGATGATAGTTTTAAAGTCTAATGTCACAGGGTATAGGGAGAGATTGATAACAGAAGCTTTGTTTATCGAATCAACTGCAAATACATGTAATAGGAATGATTCATCACCTGTCCCAGATATCTGGAAAATTCTACTACCAAGCCCAGGACAACAAATAGGAGAAAACAAAGAAAACTATAAAACTCAAGTCTCAAAGTCGTGTGATTACAATTGATATGATTATGAACAATAAATTTTGTTCGAAACGTCATCCAGTAAATAATACTGTTTCACTGTGTGATTTATATAGTAAACAAACTAATATGTCCATAATTAGATGTTTTACGGGACATTTCCTTAAAATACCACCGGAGAGTTAGTGCGAAACTCCTAGACAATATCTTATTTTAATCATCCGCTGAAAAGCTTGGAACTACATAAAACTGAATAATTGTCTTGATATTTTTAATTTTGAAAAATTTTCAGTCTTGAAATTATTTTGCGTGCAGATACAGTAGATTTAGCTCAACCTGGTGATCGATGTGAATTCATTGGAACCCTCATCGTTATTCCAGATATTGGACAACTAGCCACACCTGGTAGGTTATATGATTAAGTTTGTTGCGATGATTATTCTGCAATTTCAAATTTATATGTTTATTGCAAATATCACACAGTTAGACAGGTTTTTACTAGATGACTCTTCGAATCAACTTACTATTTACAACCATATCAGCTCAAACTAAGGAAACTTGGAATTCGATTTTTATAGTTATTTTTTCGCTTACAATTCATTGTGAGGGCTCTACGATTCTCCAGATGTACGATATATGCCTAACCATTTTTACTACACTCTTGAACTGCTGCATATCGGTGCAAAGTTTTATGTTGAAAATAGACAGAGAGACAGACTTCACTCATTCTCAGTTGACTCAGCAAATAAAATTTCATTAAGACCCACTTTGTTACATCCTATTGTATAGTTGTGTAACTGCATGCAGTGCTACAGGTGAGGTTTTTTTCTTTAGATTCCTTAAAAGGGTATACTGTTGTAGATTTCGTTAAGTTATTGTGCCCCTATGATCTGTCCGACCCGGACCTGCTACTTTGACGTTGTAATCACTTCATGGTATTATATAAACTAAATTATATAGTTTAATAGGTTCCACATGACCCTTTAACTGACGTATTATATTTTAAGGGAGTTTGAACGTACGAATCTCATTCCTGCATTATTAGGAATTTTACGTAAGGTTTAAGATCTTTTTTGTCTGTATGGTAGCACTGATATTTTAGATTTCCTATTCTTGGTGTTATCATCTTTTTGTGTTCGTCATTCATATCGTCCTTATTATTATTGTTACTGTTGTTAATATTAACACTTTCCATATACCTTCTGATTAATTTATCAGGGTAATTACTAAATACTAACGCTTGCGCTAGATTCTTTTTTGTGCTCTTTAGTTACTTTTACAGTAAACAAATTAATAAGGAATTACAAACCATACTGAAATTTTTCACCCTAAATTTGATTACTGGTTCTAATTTCGTCACCTTTCACCAGGTCATCTGAGTTAAATTGTTTCGTTTTTATGGCGTTTTCTAAACAAGGAATTTTGTTTCTTTCAACTAAATACAGGCGACAGATCTTTAGAATCTAAGCCATTACGTGGACGAGATAATCAGGAAATCAGTGGTGTGACTGGTCTAAAAGCTTTAGGAGTACGTGAATTATCCTACAGGACGGCATTCTTAGCATGTACCGTTATTCCCTCTAATGGAAGGGTAAGTTCATATTTTCATTTCACGTCGTTTATTTCCGATTACACAATCTCTACCTACTACTTGCTTTCATACAAATAGCATAACATAGTGGTTCGAATGGAGTATCAAAATAATCCAGCAGATATTACCAGATGAAATCTTTGTTCTCTAGAGTCTCATTATACTAAAGCCAATGTTCAGACAGTGACTATGAAATAAATAGTGTACGTCGTGATGATATAGCTAAAAATTAACTTGTGTTTATGGTGGAGTGTTATCTAACTTGTTTAGTCAGCATACTAGTGTTTCAGATTCTGTTCTCTTGAAGATCTTGTTATGGGGGAATATATGTGTTTCTTAGTTTTATCCAAGTTGGCAGTCAACCGCCCATTGTTCACATGAATCGCACCGTAAAAAATTAAAAGTTTTGCACTTAATTGTGATGTTTTTTGTATAGCAATTACCTATATATTACCTGGCTTTAGTCGTATTAATATGACAAATGGATTTCAACGAAAGCAGCAAACACATTGAAACTGAAGTACACAGTTATATTAATCCTAAACAAACAAACAAACTGAAGATTATCCTTTATAACTAATTAAAACTAGTCTTTGTTGTGGTTAAAGTCGCTTTCATTTGGATAGTTATGTTGATTAGTGTAATTAATCGGTCAATCTAAGTAGTATACTGTATAACATTTTCAAGTTCCACCTACTATCAGTCTGCATTCGTAATCGTCTGTCAACTTTATGAGACTTTGTTAGTAGGCAGCAACTAACAATTTCGCAAATGTAACTTAAAATACCGTGGACATGGCATCTAAAAGTAATATATATATATATATATATACATATATATATATATTCAGAGCAAGTAGTTTAAGAAAAAGACTGGCAATTTCAGCCTGGTAGTTACGTGTAATTATCTGTGATGGATTTGTATCCCTCCCCACCTGCATCATCCTGTGCTACTAGACTATATGGACAGCTCCCACATAATAAACGTGGTACATGTTACATATTATTGCAACTGTACAATTTAGTAAACTGAATTTCCTGTAGTATTGATTCGTGCTTCGAATAAAAAGTTATGTTCATATGATAATTTCTGAAGTAGACTTTTTGCATACTTATCCTGGCAATATGTTATTAAATTGAATTAACCTTCTTACCTCAGTCACTAGTATTTTGTAGGTATCATTCACTAGAGTTTTCAATCTGTAATCTCACGTACATATGTTTAATTTCAGTACCTGCCGTCGGATGACTTGGAAGAGGCAGATGCAATATCGTATGAAGCTCTCTCAAAAAGACTGACTGCTTCTGAACTAGATACAATTTGTCAAATGAGTCAAGACCGGAAACTTCTCAGCAACATATGCAAATCTCTTTTTCCTACTATCCATGGTGCTGAAGAAGTGAAGAAGGGAATCTTGTTGATGCTTTGTGGTGGTGTGCCAAAGGTTAGTATGATGAGAAACTTTTATGCAGATTGTGTCTAGTTATATATAAATGTCACACTATCATTTCGCTAAACTTACCTTAAGGAAGTTATGTACGAAGTGTGCAGTTAGTACCGTAAACATATGTCTACTGGCTTTATCAAGAAATTAGTGTAATATCATAGGACTGATGTAACCTCACACTATTTGAGCAATGAAAATAAAACGTCTCAGTCGAACAAGTTTTCATGACATAGTCCACAAAGCATTGTGCTTATTAACATAACTGGTGCACGTAAATTATATTGCTTTACTATTGCAAGTTTGATCACGGATTGATTGGCATCAATTGGATAACTACCGAAAACCAGGGAGTAATGACAGCTGTTTCGTTTTAGTTTGGGACCCTTCAGCATCGCGTACCTGTAATTCTGCTGGGGATAGGTTCCCGGACATGCAAGTGACGAGACAAGCCCGTTGACTGTCCAACTACTAGGACAGAATCCATGCGCCATATATAGCGTTTCGTAACACGAAGGTCCTGGAGTTGATTCTCTGTAGGGATGTGTTTCCCATCCGAGGATGGAACAACTGTCTAGTAATCCCTGACTTCCAGTGGTTCTTTAACTGATGTTATTTCTTGATCTAACTTGATACGAATCGAATCCCTGCAAACAAACACTTGGTAATTGTCATTAGTGACTACTTTAACAATAGCTGTATGATTTTCACTTCACACATTTAACTCAAGAAGTACTATACAAGTTTGTCGGGAACTTGTTACATTGTTATTCAACTAGCCAAACTACTTTACGAGGTCGACTTCAGGTTTTGCCTTTTTTACATTTATCGTTCATACATACTTCCGTTTTCTTGATGTTGGTGATGGAAAGGTTGCTGAGTTAGTGATATAACGGTACTTGCACACAAAAGGTATGATTTCTGTGTTTACGGTCTAAACTAGTATTGTTTTGATGTCCCACAATTTTCTAATTTGGCTCAACTTATGGCACTCCAATTGTGTGGAATCTACTTCACTGGTAATTAACCATTTACATCGTAACGTGTATTGTTAACTTTTCCGAGTGTTTATTTTTATTCTTTTTATTAAATTTAATTAAACTTGTTCTCTTGTGAAACTTCTTACAGGTTACTGAAGAGAAAACTCATCTTCGCGGTGATTTAAACGTCTGTCTAGTGGGTGATCCGAGTACAGCAAAGTCTCAGTTTTTGAAACACGTTGAGCGATTTTCTCCACGTGCCGTTTATACCAGTGGTAAGGCTAGTTCTGCAGCGGGTTTGACAGCTGCCGTTGTCAGAGATGAAGAATCTTTTGAATTTGTTATTGAAGCTGGAGCACTTATGCTTGCAGACAATGTAAGTTTCTGACTGAGAATTTCTATATTGGATGACTGGGTCAAATATTATGCCTGAGAATGTATGGGCAATAGACAGAAACATCGCTTTTATAGCACCGATTCTGATGTCTAAGTCCCGATCAAATTGAACTTTGAATTCATATTGATCTGGTCAAAGTGTTGTTGGTGTCGTTCCATGTAGGTACACTTTTCATTCCGGAGAATTTACTAAATACATGTGCATATACTTAGTTCCCTTTGAACTCTAGCTCTCACTAAATCCTTCACCTGAACATGATGTTCACTCTCATTTGTTTATGATAGTGTAACTGAATACTGAATCAGGTAGTTACCAATCAACTGAGTTACTTACACCTGCAAGATGCTGAATGGAATGTGAGAAGCCGTAAAAATGTTCATTTCTTTTGAAGTGCATTACAGTTCACCTCAAGTGTGTCAGTGAATAGTGAATGTAAACTAGTTGTTATTCGCAACAGAGAAAATTTTGAGGCTGCGTTTATTATACGATCTCTATCTTCTGTTGCTCACTTGAAATCGAAGACAAATCTAAGAGAATGCTGATCATCAGGAGAAAATACTTCGTTCTCATAGCATCCGACTTCAATATCTACCTATATATATACTGCTTTAAACTTCATCACACAACACAAGAGCAGCATTCGATAGGGCTAGCACTTCACGTCACAGATAGGTGGGATTTGTTATGACTTAACATACTTCAGATAATTCTTGGATCTCAGCAAGTAATATAATAATAATAATAATAATATCAAAGGGATGCAAAGGTTTCGTGTTAACAGACTATCGTAATATAAACTTACTGAAAATGTTTATCTCTCACAAATTATTTGACATGGTGAGTTAATTATAAGATTTGGTATGAATTAAAAGGCTATCAGTCATCCAAGTGAGACTCGTTAGATTTTCGGTTACATTTACCTTCTTGCATACACACCACTCATAACATTTTTCGTTTGTAGGGTGTTTGTTGTATAGATGAGTTCGACAAAATGGACTTAAAAGACCAAGTTGCTATCCATGAAGCTATGGAACAGCAGACAATCAGCATAACAAAAGCCGGTGTAAAAGCTACATTGAATGCACGCACTTCTATCCTTGCAGCAGCTAATCCTATCGGCGGTCGATATGACAGATCAAAATCTTTACGGCAGAACATTAGTTTATCCGCTCCTCTTATATCTCGATTTGATTTATTTTTCGTATTAATCGACGAATGCAACGATGTAAGTTTCTTTGCTCTTCTAAGCGTTTACTTAAATATTGTGATATCCTATTCTAAAGGCAAGATTAGCAGTTTTTAAGCTTTGTAGATCTGTTGTCTAGTCTTCTTTAAGGTTTGAAAAAAGAAACTGAAGTGTAATACACATTTATAGTTATTTAGCGCCTTACCCTGGGTACTGACGTCCCTCAATAAAAGTTTTTCCGCAGTAGTATACCTTTACTACTACTGGTATTTATCTTTCATATAAACTACTGTCCTTAGTCAATTGGTTCCAGGATCATTCAGCATGTCTAACATCATTTTCTTCCGTTTTGCGAATGTGAACTTTTGAATAAGATTGACTGTTAAACTACTGTTTTAAGTTTTCTACTGATTACCTAAGTAGTCAGCTTTCAAACATTTAAGTAAGAAAATAAAATCTCACTCCGTCTAGCTGAATGTAGTCAACCTGATAGCAGCGTATATCTTTTTCATAGTCTACACAGAGTTTCTGTACCCATTATATTTTGATTTCACAATATTACTGTTTTAATTAAAGAGTAGTTTGTTTCCAATGTCAAAAGTAAGGAGGTAATTTTTCATAAAATCAAACCGCTCTTCTATGTACAAAACAATTCGTTACACTTAATCTCCCATAAAAATCTTTATCTGATTATGTTACAGAACTTGGTGTCAATTATTATCTTTTTTTACACTTCACATCGATTATTTCGTTTATTTAAACTGACATCCCACTGTCTTATTTTCAATTAAATCAAATCGACAAATGGATGCATGGCCAAATTGTTCGAAATGTATTACACAAATACATTTCATCTTTCAATAATGCTACCTAAATACGTAACTCATTTAATTGACACAGGCTTTGCGTGTACCGAGCTATATGACACCTCACAGTATTTGACAGGATATAAACCAAAGTAAATGAAATGAAATCTTGAAAGCTGTAGTAACTGATTAAGTGGTATAAACCAGTAAGTCACGCTATCTAAAATACATCACAGAAGATCATTTTATAGGTATTTAAAAAGCCTATCATAAACTTGTTCACTTGCTTTCCTAATTCAAAGTGTTATTAAATCTTCACTTTTCAGATTGTGGACTACGCTATCGCACGTTCAATTGTAGATTTGCATATGGGAGTACATGGTGATCATGATACTCATACCGTCTACTCTCTCGATAATATTCGTCGCTATATTGCTTTCGCTCGTTGCTTTAAACCCAAGGTAAGAAGAATGTGCATACGCACATATTGACTTGTCTCTATGGAATATAAGTTTTTCGTTTATCTGTCGCGTATATCGTTTGAATGGGAAAAAATTTAACCACTATTCTTTCCGCTTTCTTGTGATTGAATGATAATGTGTTATTATCTGTTGAACAAATCTGTCATACCTTTCAAGAATCTTCTAAGATTGTCTGCTGCAGTTCAGTATCTAACTTAAAGGAAGTTTGTATTGACTTTCTTAGACTTCATAGTCGTTATGTGTCCAGATGCTCAATATCTTGTTATTACTAAATTTAGTTAATGGGTTAATTAATTTTATTCAAACGATTCGAGGTAATCTCACGACTCAATGTTACTTTTCAATCAACACAATAGGTTTTCTGTATGATGTTTTCTTTGAAACTTAATAATTACAAGATTGTGAATGGATTATAAGGAATATTTGATAAAGACATATGAACTGACTAAAGAAAGCAATGCGGTCATTTCAATCCAACTATCATAGCTTTCTTCAGTTTACGACCTGTGTACTAACCAAAAGTTATCTTAGAATCATCATGTATAGTAGAATACCAGTGAAAACTACTTCACTTAATTATAACTGAAGGTCAGTTATAAAATGCGTAAAAGATGTTGGTTAAGAGTAAATGAGAAAAAATTGCTAGTATTGTTTTGTGAGTGTGCAGTGTATTTACTGGATTTCCAATGCATTCATTACTCACAATAGACCAATGGATTCAACTTCCCATACCTTTTAAAGAGTCTGATATTAACTCTAACTGTGTAAAGCATAACGCAATGTGCTGACACTGGGACACAACTAACAAAAAGGAATTAATGTAATGCATGGATATGTGTATATTTATCCTGTTTCTACAACTGAGTAATTCTGGTAGACTATATGCAGCTTGTCCGTTATCACATTAGGATCGTAAAGCAGATGGATAAACCATTTCAACACTTAGAAGTCAAGATTTTTTTCTATCTTTCACTTAACTCATATCCGTTATCATTTTTACTCTGTATCATCAGATTAGTGCTGAAGCAATGGAATGTATGGTTGAGGAATATAAAAAAATGCGTCAACGCGACGCCTCTAGCGGGACAAAGTCTGCGTGGCGTATTACCGTCAGACAGTTGGAAAGCCTTATCCGTCTTTCAGAGGCTACTGCAAGACTCCACTGTGCAGATACTGTGAGTATTTTGGTTTTTTTTACCTCCATCTGTTCACCTTTTTTGCTTTTATAAGTTACCTTTAATTAGTATGTTCTGGATGATTATAAAAGAAATAAACACAAGAACTACTTGTCCACAGCGACAATGGTAAATATTTGGAGAATATGGTACTTGGTATGGTCGCATTACCCCATTCTTATTCTTGCTTTCATCGAAAGAAGACAGGAGAAGGAAAATCATGTGCTGATCAAATTGCGACTCTACGCATCGCCATCGAACAAAGCATAGAATGGCAGTCAAATCTCTATCTCAACTTCATCGACTTCGAAAAGGCCTTCGACAGCATTGACCGAGAAGTAATTTGGAAACTGCTTCAACACTACGTTGTGCAGTGCCCAAGTCTTTGTCAACATCATTCAACAGCTATATGACAATGCCACGTGTTAGTGTGGCGAGTGCTACTGATAAGATTTATCAGTAGTATATAAAGAGACGTTCATCGGCATAAAAACATCAAATAGCAGGGAGATAGATTTGATGTCAGAGAAAGCAAATGATACAGCGTTGTGGAGATACATGGGAGACGTGAAAGGAACACAAAGAAACACAATATGAAGGAAGGCCAGAAGTAGCACAACACGGAAGATCTGTGCAAATGGTGCGTTTAAGATAAGGTGAACATAATTTGGCTATATAGAGATACCAATTTCTCAATAAACATTCCTTTACCAAGTTTTTCGTCTTCTACCGTTTCATAAAGTCATCCACAACGAAAAAGTCAACCATTTGAAGTGAATACAAGGCTGTATGTTATCACCGATGATATTCTAAATTGTGGTAGGCTGGATTATGCGTCAAACTGTGCACAGGGAGTGACAAGACAGGCATACGCTGGGCCGATAAGAAGACTCTAGAAGATCTGAGCTTTTTCGATGATTTGTGTCACACAAACTCGAAGACTTGCAGGCGAAAACGAGCGAAGACAGGACTCCAGGTGAACATATAGAAGACGGAGGTGATGAAGATAACCAACCAACAGCAACAACAACCAGCACCAATCACTATCGACGAGAGAGATTTGAAAGAGGTTACTTCCTTCACTTATTTAGGCAATAGGCATTTTTCCAAGCACAGGTGGAAGGGATGAAGATGTTAGAGCCAGTCAGAATCGGAAAGGCAAGATACGCCTTCGTCAACCTGAAACCAGTTCGGAAATCTTCTGCACTGCACTCAGCCAGCATAAAGAACAAGATTCGGATTTTCAACAACAATGTCAAGTCGGTCCTTCTATACGGGTCAGAAACTTGCACTGCGTGTCACGAAAAGGATTTCCAACAAGTCACAAACTTTTATCAACAGCTGCCTTCGCTCCATACTGAAGATCAAATGGTCAGAAAGAATTAGCAATAAGAAACTCTGGAAACAAACCAACCAAGAGCCGATTGCCTAACAAATATGTAAGAGAAAATGGAGATGGATCGAGTATACGTCGAGAAGGCCGTCAAATGACGTGGCGCGCCAAGCGATCACTCAGGTGGAATCCGATTGGGTTGTTGGTGCGAGGGTGACATTGAGGAGATGAGTGATCGTGGACCGACCTGAAGAGGACAGCTGCAAATAGAACAAAGTGGAAATGTTTTTTTGAGGCCTTATGTTCCACTCGGAACCCAGGGGAATAATAATAATAAATATGGTCGCACTATAGTGTGATGCACAGAGTATAATGTATATCGGTATCAATCGAGAAGACTAAGGTAGTAATAGAGCCTCAATTAAAGTTGACATTACAATTTGTCATCTGCAAGCTATGCACTAAATGCTTACCTAATATACCGCAGTGTGGATTTGAACGTGGTTTTCCTGTATCTTAAAGCTTTTATATATATGTGAGGTACTATGTTTCATTGGTTGATAGGTTTTTATTATATAATCGTCACTACATATCGTAATTTGATAAGAACACCATTGTCAGGAATGATATCGTGACTTTTATTGACGTTAGTCTTTTTGCTACATCAGTAAGCAACCAATGTACACTTTTCAAACGAATAATTCCCCAGTTCAATGAGAAACGATTAAAATCCCACACGGTAACTAACTGTGGTTACGTAGTTTCGTGTGTACTTCCTCATCGGATACCTTTGGTGTTTGTAATGTTGTTTTCCCCATACTTAGCTTTAGTATAATGAAATTTAGACGTTTTTCTTCACCGACTACACTTTCTCTCTTTAGGTAACCCAAAACCATGTTCGTGAGGCGTTCGCCCTATTAAACAAATCTATAATACGTGTTGAACAACCTGATATTAATTTGGAAGAAGATGAAGAACATCAACAACCAGATGCTTCTGAAACACCACTTACTGAACAGGTAGATTACTTTTTAAAATTGTAATGCTTGAATTCACTTCATTTTTTTGCGTTCCTAATTCCTACTTATTCTGATCCTTTGAATTTAGCAAACAGCAGATGCAGACACAGCGGCAGGCCATTTGCGAGTAACATATGATGAATATAGGCGCATCGCTAGTCTGTTAATTCTAAAGGCACGAAATTGGAGTGAGTCCTTGGCGTCCGAAGCTGCATCCGATCAGACAGCAGGTGCCCCGAAAAGGAGTGAATTGGTAAACTGGTACTTGGAAGAAGTGGTTGATGAAATTGAAACAGAAGCACAGTTAACGGAATGTAAACTTCTAGTAGAACGCATAATCGACCGTCTAATAAAAAAAGTAAGCCTTTAGATTTAATTTGCCGATATGCTTCTTAAATAGACTTTTGATTCAATTACCACTGTTAATGTGAAACTGTTTTGCTAGAATTATCGCACAATGATATAGTGCATTTCTGTTGGTTAACTTCTCAAACTCATTATCGTTTATAATGATACCAAGCATATTTTATCACGGGTCCAGATGTAAGATGCATTTATAAGCAACTGTATCTTCACGCTTCCCAGTGGCACCAACTTCTGCGATTCCAAAGTGTGCAGCCAAACAAGCGAGAGCAAGACAAACAAATTTCCAAGTGTAGGATAAAAGTCACTTACGAAGTATCATCTTAACATATGACAATTTCTATTCTCCTGATCTCTAGCCATGTGTATCTCTTTTGCAGGAGCAGTGTTCTCAGTTTGCCTTCATCCTACTTTATACCTGTATACTAGTAGAATTTTACTTAATGTGACACATGTATTAAGAACAACTTGTCTTCTCTTTATCTGTGAAGCTTTATGGCTACGTTAGATACATTTCTTATAACTGTAGCTCAATATTTATATTTGTCCAATTATTTCTTTTTTCCAGGATAATATTTTGATAGCTATTGGTGGCACAGGACTAGACGCATCTTCTGATACAACAGACCCTTATATCGTCGTGCATCCGAATTATGTGGAGTGATTCCGAATGGTTTCGCTGAGATGTTTTTATGTGTGCATGTTTTTTATGATAGAGATAACTATTATTATTTAATAAATTCTTCACTAAGTGTTCCTTGTTATTGTATGGTTATGAGAAAAAGTAGGTATACAAGAAAAGATAATTTATTTCGACATTTACAAAAGTGTCTTAACAGACAGTAAGGTGTTCTGTACAGATTGCATACTGGTTACCAACGCTTCTGTGTGCTGATATAAAATACTGAAAGGCATAATAGTGACGAATGAGCTTACCATTATTTCCTCTAATGAACGCATCACCATATTTGTTCTTCAATTGCCCCTCAACATACTCTTCTGTCTGCTCAAGCACGACATTCATATAGCCATCTAGAGAAATAAGAACACCTACAAATAGCGGCTCGCTAAATATATACGTACCTCTATAATCGGCACCCGAGTTTAGTTTGACCACTACTGGTCTTCCAATTATAAGTTTCAAGAAATCTCTTGGTGTTTGTTTGTGGGCCATTTTTTCAGCAAGTTATTAGATTCAAACAAAGTACCTAAAAAAGGGAGATTAGTCGCATTAGTTTACTGTAAATGTCTTAGTTTCCTGATTTTAACAGCTATTGTCTCAGCTGTAAAAATATTCAATAACTATGAGCTTCCGATGATACCTTGAGAAGTTTTAACTTTTGGTTCAAAGGCTAGTGGGTACCTCAACTCTAATTTTGCCCTTAATGTGTAGTGCCGTTAGGAAACATAATAACTATGATTACCCAAATGATCAATTCAAAGTAATTGACTTGGAATCATTTTGGTGAGATATAAAAAAATGTGTGCATTTTTCATCTTCGTTCATCATAGGTTACAGTGGCGGTGTCAGATTTAAATGATCAGCAAGAGTAGTGGTTTAGAAACTGAATAACCATTTCTTAAAAGACCGTTTTTATTAACGACGTGCAAACGTATTTATGCTAATCACAATTCAAGTATACCATAACGTTTTTCAGCACATACACCAGGGAAGGGTGGCATTAAACAAATGTGTGCGGTCGTCCAAAACGGTAGTTCCTGTGATTTTTGTCTGTATCAAAAGGGCGGAATTAGTTGTGTGGACTGTGTGCGAATTCCTGGGTAATAGAATGCGACTATGCTAGCTGATGTCAGCACTTTCTTCTACGTTGACACCTGCTGAGTTCAAGCAGTAGTCCAGGCATTAATTAGGAAGATTACTGCCTGCAGTTATTTCGACGCTTTTGATAGTGGTTCAGCCGCCTCTCTATTTACACTAAGCTGCTCAGTTTAAACTGATCCTGCAGCATCTTTCATTCGACAGGAGTGAGTAGAATGTTGAACGTAATTAGTGTTCGGAAGGCTGAATTTTTAAAGCAATTAGTTCCTTTTATGAATTTCGACAACACAATAAGAAGACGTAGTTTATCTGAAACGTATAATGTATTGGCGCAATTACACAATCTGACCTGTATTGTAATTATTCTTGCCTTCTATAAAAACTGTGCATGACAAGTATGTGTGTAATCAGAATGCCCGAAATGTGTTGCGCCAATACATTACACGTTTCAGATAAACTACGTCCTCTTATTGTAATGTCGAAAGGCTGAATTTTGTTAGCGTCTTCAGCTAAAGGCATTATATTGTCTGCAAACTGTTAGAGAAGTCCACTGGCATTCAGCAACTTTTGGCTACATGTCAACAGCCCCCACTACATTTTCTAAATAAGACTGGATATGACAGCATACTACCTCAGGTTAAGCAATGCTGTTCACTCCAAAACACTCATTACTCCCTTCAGAAATCTGAGCACGAAAGGATTAAGTAGCTACTTGTCCTCTACCTCCGTTGCCATAGGTATACATGGGCTGGTAGATGGTCGGAGTCAAAGCAGAATAAACAGCAATCATTCGGCAACAACTTACATCTAGACAATCTATTTGCAAGCACTACTGATTAGGCATTGACCTTCGCCAGGTGGGACGACGCTAGTTTTGGGGTCGAAAGACTGCTTGTTATTCTTACAGGATTAAATATGCCATCACTGATGTCAGTTAGACCGCATGTGGCTTCACTGACTGACTGGTTTCAACGTAGAACTTTCCACAGATATGCAGCAGTTCGAGTTGGCAAAGTCCACGTAGCACACAAAGCACGAGAAGAGAGATAATGAACAGAATTGAGGCAAAAAGAATAAGAATATGGAGGCGCAGTTGAGTTTTATGGGATATAAAAAATCACAAAGAGTGAATGCATCTGCGCCAGCCATTGAGGACGATTTTGAGCCATATCACCAATTGTCTCCAGCCATTGTTGTTTACCGTCTGAGGACCCCAACCAGGAAGTCTACGCCTTCCTACGTGGCTTAAACTAACTAATGGTCATGTTGTGTTTTGACCACCACTGGCTCTTTTCCAACCTGATCCATCCTACGTCAGCTAACATTGCCAGTCGAGGAAGGCGATGCCTAGGCATACGTAATACATGTCCTAACCATCGCGATCGATGTAACTTTACAGCCTCGTCGATTGATTTCCACTCCTTACCTATCACTACTCTACGCCTAACCTCAATATTGCTCGCCCTATGATCAAAGACAACTAGCCTCTTCATGTCTTCCACTTTAAATGACTGTCTCATAGCCATAAAGGAGGACGGAGCGAACTGCTGAGCAATACAACACGACCTTTAGTCGAAAGCCGGATAACACGTCTACGCCAGAGACGTCGTATACTGGCACATGCGTAACGAGCCTTCCGTATCCGTGTTGAGATTTCGTCAGCAATCAACCCGTTGGGGCTGATGCAACTTCCCAAATAAGTGAAGCGGTCAACACGCTCTACCACTTCACTCCCTATTTCTAAGCTAGGAGTCAAAGTAGTCCAGTCCTGTAGCATCATCTTACATTTGACGGGAGCGAATCGCATGCCAAACATTTGAAGATTGCCTTCTCATCAAAGTGTTCAGAGGACGCTGTACTTGGTTAGCGTCTTCACCTAGGAGCAGGACTATATCATCCGCATATTTTAAGTAAACCAGATTATTCCTGGTAGCAAGTCAATCTCTGAGTCACTGGAGTCAGTTAGGGTTAAGTCCATTAGTACATCGTTGATGAAATTAAACAGAGATGGAGACAGTAGGCATCCCTGCGGACACCACTTCAGATGACAACTCCCCATAGGCCGTCACCTCGCTGCATCAGTTGTTGTTGTCGGTTCGTCGGAAGGGAACTCCGTAGGTACCGTCAATATACTTCTCAGTCTGGCATAACCTCCCTACTTGGGCATTTAAGTCGCTTGCTAAAACGAATATATACCTCAGCGTTTTGCTTTTTGCAGCAACCCTAACAGTTACTGTTGACATGGTCCTTTGATTCGTCCGAACTGAAGTCTCTTGGAGCGTACGCGGAGACTACGAAAAGACAACGACGGGTAACGCCGTCTTTCCTCCTTCTAACGGACCCGTTCAGAAGGACCGCACACTTACAACTATTTACTGGGATCCAGTCAAGAAGTGATTTTTTCGCCCTAAGACTCAATGCTATCCCTGCACCTGCAAGTTGTCGCGAACTAGCTGAAGAGTCCCCTGATACCCTTGAGGTGAATTTCGCAGATTCCCCTTGTTGGCCGGGTGGGGTTAAGTTAATAACCACATTCGGGTCTTGTATGCGTGTCTCCGAAACACAACATACATCCATGGCTCTAGATTCCAGAGTTCTTGCTAGTGATGCCTGTTGTCCGATTTGGCAGAGGGTCCTGACATTGAATACTCCAATATGAAGTTGGCGGCGTGCCTTTACAGGCTATCGGGGATATTTTTATGGCTCTCATCGTTATTAGTGGTCACAGAATGAAGTGAAGATGACTGACTAGCCTGCAGAATAGTGCTGACAATAGTAGGGAAGTAAGATGATGAGGGTGACAGGGGTGAAGCAGAATAATGATCATGAGGTTTCTGTGTGCTTTTGAAAGTGTGTGGGGGGTTGTTACTTCCCGGTTGCCCACACCATGGAAATTGATTCTTTCTTGGGGCACCTGAAACAGAAAGGGAATTAGGGTTGCGTGACCGCAGAGCCTAGTGGACAACTGCTTGAGGGCGGCCACACACGGCCTGTCTGAAATGGCTTTTTGTTTTGGTTCCATATTAATAACTTACTGCCGGCTGCGGACCACCGTAGGGTAAGTCGGGATGCATAATTTTTAGGGTCGAACTTTTATAACTAAATCCCTCTCTTCAGAGTGGAGGACAGCACAGCTGGCATGCTGATCATCTGATGGAAACACCTGACTGCTGGTACATCCCTATTCCCAGGAGTACGACTTTGCCCACATATCCCCAGCATAGTGTAAAAAAGTCTTACACTATGACTGTAACTGCTTTTGGTCCAATCGCTATCCTAACAATCTTCCTGGTATGGTATGAGCTACAGGAACATAAATTCTAGCCAGTGTAGCTTGTTGGTTCAGTGCGATATGCAAGCCCGACAACCACGTCAAGGTAGCAACTATCGGTCGGGTGGCTTCACAAATATAAGAAACATGCATTTCGTGCACCCTTATTTGAGAATAGTTGAAAGTTTATATGACAACCTGAAGGGTTGGCAAAAATCATGCTTTTTCTCTGCCCTTACCAATCTATTCGAGTCTACTGAAATCCAGTGGAGCAGTGGGTTTTTCTACTACAGAGCTCAGTGCTGCCTAGATATCAGCAAATTCACAATAACTAGCGAAATAATCGACACACAGGGAAAATTTGGTAGTCACAATGTAGCTCAGGTTGATTTAGGTGGATAACTATACGAGGATCCCACGTGTTTGAGGTAGACAACATGTATCAACAGAGTTTGAGATACCAAAATTTGGGTTAGTGGATCTTTCTTCGACGTACTGTAAGGTCCGGAAGTTGAGATGTTACATCATGAAGTTGGCAGTATGGTTTAAGCAGCTAGAAACACTGTTCTGAGTTAAGACACTAGCAATCGTTTTAGTGTTAAGAATCAGTGATGGAACTGCATATAGAATGGTATAAATTGCGACAGAAAACAAAGATGAAGTGCTCAAGTGATAAACAGAACTTTTGATACTTATTGAAGTA